TCCAGAAGATTAGGCTCCAAAGGCCAATGACTATACTTTTTTCCTTTACTAAGTTTTTCCAACATGATTTTCTTAGTTAAAGGTTTTTAATGAGACAGTCAATACAACACATTGTTTTACATATATTATGTACTCTTTTCCTTGATTGATTTTTTCCCAAAGGGTTTTTCCAACAAGGTTTTTAATGAGGCATACACATAGTTCAATTTTTGCTACAAGGAATTGGTCACTAGATTATATTGGATTCTACAAGAAGTTTTCCGAGCCAAAATCCGTATCTATAACGAGGGTTTTTGGTAGTGTTATCCTAAAGATCATTCACCAACATCTGTTTTAGGTATAAAATAATATTTCAAAAGTTTAGCTAAACTGTAATTCTAATAATCTTCTTTCAAACTTTAAGAGTAGTTTTATTATAAGTGGTGAAGCTAATAGTTTTTTATCACGTGGGAAAAAATATTTGACGTGAGTTGTATATTCCACCAAGATTTCTACAATCTAATGGATATTTTTGAACTTTTAAAAGTAATGGAGATTTGTTTTTTTATGATCGTATTTTTGTATCGTGTCCGCTATTAGTTCTATATATTTACCCCCATGTAGATGTAGTTCTATAACTAATTAATAAATATGTCTATATTAACGACCATTTAATAGAAAACCCACATTACGGTAAAAAAAACATATGGAGTACTAGAAAAGACGTCAAATTTTCGTAACAAAGTGCACCTTCTGGTGGAAAAATTCGTAAAGCGGATAAACTTCTATGTTACCGGATCAAATTTGCAAGTGAGTAAAATTTACACTATTACATTATATAATTTTGTTAAACATGATTAAGAGTTATTAAACTCTCATTAAGGGACAGGGAGGGGGGTAAGAGTATATTTTCAATAGTGCAGGGGTTTAGGTGATAATGTATGAAACCTCAGGGGAGGTAAGTGATAATTTCTGTATAAATAATGATGGAGGTTTTGTATATTAAAGATTGTCATCGGCTCAAATTATATGGAGTGGATTGAGGTGAAACAATTAATTGGTCCAGAAGACCATGTGCTATTCCTTTTTTTATTGGATTCTACAAGAAGTTTTGAAGTGAAGCAGTCAACATGGGGGGTATATGCTAGTTGCACTCTTTTTCCCTTGACTAAGGTTTTGTCCCACTGGGTTTTCCCGACAAGGTTTTTTCCCGATAAGGTTTTTAATGAGGCAGCATTAGCATAACATATAGAGAGAATAATGCATAGCATCATATTTTTCTTGTAAATTTTATTTAGCAATGTACATCCAAGGAGAGTGTTATGTAATTATGGATGTCCATTAGTTCATAGCCCGAGCCCATATGCATTGGCCCATCTGATTATTGTAACCCTAACTCCCTCCAATATATACATCCTCATATATGAATGAAAAGTGCTTTTGATGTTGGCTTATAACAACTCCATGTTTATCATTATTACTAAGAGCCTGTTTGGTGGTTCTTTTTTTCAACTTATCAGGCTTATCAGTCAACTTTGTAACCAAACACGTAACTTTTGAATTCGCGTACTGAATTGTGTAATAATAATAATAATAATAATAGTAGTAATAGTAATAATAATAATAATAACAATAATAGTAGTAATAGTAATAATAATAATAATAATAATAATAATAATAATAATAATAATAATAATAATAATAATAGTAATAATAGTAGTAATAGTAATAGTAATAATAATAATAATAGTAGTAATAGTAATAATAATAATAATAATAATAATAATAATAATAATAATAATAATAATAATAATAATAATAATAATAATAATAATAATAATAATAATAATAATAATAATAATAATAATAATAATAATAATAATAATAATAATAATAATAATAATAATAATAATAATAATAATAATAATAATAATAATAATAATAATAATAATAATAATAATAATAATAATAATAATAATAATAATAATAATAATAATAATAATAATAATAATAATAATAATAATAATAATAATAATAATAATAATAATAATAATAATAATAATAATAATAATAATAATAATAATAATAATAATAATAATAATAATAATAATAATAATAATAATAATAATAATAATAATAATAATAATAATAATAATAATAATAATAATAATAATAATAATAATAATAATAATAATAATAATAATAATAATAATAATAATAATAATAATAATAATAATAATAATAATAATAATAATAATAATAATAATAATAATAATAATAATAATAATAATAATAATAATAATAATAATAATAATAATAATAATAATAATAATAATAATAATAATAATAATAATAATAATAATAATAATAATAATAATAATAATATAATAATAATAATAATAATAATAATAATAATAATAATAATAATAATAATAATAATAATAATAATAATAATAATAATAATAATAATAATAATAATAATAATAATAATAATAATAATAATAATAATAATAATAATAATAATAATAATAATAATAATAATAATAATAATAATAATAATAATAATAATAATAATAATAATAATAATAATAATAATAATAATAATAATAATAATAATAATAATAATAATAATAATAATAATAATAATAATAATAATAATAATAATAATAATAATAATAATAATAATAATAATAATAATAAATAATAATAATAATAATAATAATAATAATAATAATAATAATAATAATAATAATAATAATAATAATAATAATAATAATAATAATAATAATAATAATAATAATAATAATAATAATAATAATAATAATAATAATAATAATAATAATAATAATAATAATAATAATAATAATAATAATAATAATAATAATAATAATAATAATAATAATAATAATAATAATAATAATAATAATAATAATAATAATAATAATAATAATAATAATAATAATAATAATAATAATAATAATAATAATAATAATAATAATAATAATAATAATAATAATAATAATAATAATAATAATAATAATAATAATAATAATAATAATAATAATAATAATAATAATAATAATAATAATAATAATAATAATAATAATAATAATAATAATAATAATAATAATAATAATAATAATAATAATAATAATAATAATAATAATAATAATAATAATAATAATAATAATAATAATAATAATAATAATAATAATAATAATAATAATAATAATAATAATAATAATAATAATAATAATAATAATAATAATAATAATAATAATAATAATAATAATAATAATAATAATAATAATAATAATAATAATAATAATAATAATAATAATAATAATAATAATAATAATAATAATAATAATAATAATAATAATAATAATAATAATAATAATAATAATAATAATAATAATAATAATAATAATAATAATAATAATAATAATAATAATAATAATAATAATAATAATAATAATAATAATAATAATAATAATAATAATAATAATAATAATAATAATAATAATAATAATAATAATAATAATAATAATAATAATAATAATAATAATAATAATAATAATAATAATAATAATAATAATAATAATAATAATAATAATAATAATAATAATAATAATAATAATAATAATAATAATAATAATAATAATAATAATAATAATAATAATAATAATAATAATAATAATAATAATAATAATAATAATAATAATAATAATAATAATAATAATAATAATAATAATAATAATAATAATAATAATAATAATAATAATAATAATAATAATAATAATAATAATAATAATAATAATAATAATAATAATAATAATAATAATAATAATAATAATAATAATAATAATAATAATAATAATAATAATAATAATAATAATAATAATAATAATAATAATAATAATAATAATAATAATAATAATAATAATAATAATAATAATAATAATAATAATAATAATAATAATAATAATAATAATAATAATAATAATAATAATAATAATAATAATAATAATAATAATAATAATAATAATAATAATAATAATAATAATAATAATAATAATAATAATAATAATAATAATAATAATAATAATAATAATAATAATAATAATAATAATAATAATAATAATAATAATAATAATAATAATAATAATAATAATAATAATAATAATAATAATAATAATAATAATAATAATAATAATAATAATAATAATAATAATAATAATAATAATAATAATAATAATAATAATAATAATAATAATAATAATAATAATAATAATAATAATAATAATAATAATAATAATAATAATAATAATAATAATAATAATAATAATAATAATAATAATAATAATAATAATAATAATAATAATAATAATAATAATAATAATAATAATAATAATAATAATAATAATAATAATAATAATAATAATAATAATAATAAAGTATGGTTGTAGTTACTTTTCTAGCTGTAACGGATGAAGCTACTGTAGATCATCATTTTAACTATTTTTTCTTATAATCTTTTCTTTATTTTAGTAATAAAATATATTTTAAATATAAAATTTTCATTAATCAACATAATTTACCAACACAACCACTTTAGCCAGAGGCTCAGTACTTCATAAATTTCAGCAAAATCAGTAGATTCAACTGATTTCAGTGTTACGAAACGAGCTCTAAGCAATTAAACAACGACAGAGCAAAAGAAAGGTCTACTCCATATACATAATTTATACTACGTGTATCAGTATATGCTTCGCTTATATATTGACATTAGAAGAGTACTCTAATAAAAATAATTGTCTCCATGACCTCAGCCGGGAAAACAAATATGAAAAATAAGTAAAGCTTTAAACATCAGCATTGCAGCAACATGAAGCCTCACTTGAAACTCATTTTTCTCTGGATGGTCCTTTCTAGTCTGCAAATATTTGGACATAGTTTCAAAAAAGAAATATATATATATATATATATATATATATATATATATATATATATATATATATATATATATGTATATATAGTAAGGATCAAATGAGAATACCATCTTAGGAGAGAAATGAGAATGATTGTGGAGCGTTGGATTTTATCATTGTGTATCAAGTAAAACAGAAATGTGCACATAAAAATTGGAAAATGTGCATTTCAACTGTGCAAAGGTTTACACTTAAAAGTAATAGCCTTTCCCATTATTTCACAAAAAGTGCACATTAGAATTTTGCATTACTTAAAGTATAAATGTGCATTCACATAAATGATAAAGTGCATCGTTTTGGAGCGTTCTCATTTCTCACGTTAAGAAGTGTTCTCACCGGAACCGCACCCTATATATATATAATGCTTTTTGGATAAGCTTATTAAATTCAATTACTAAGTTATAGAATAAATACTCCACTTTCTATATGTTGAGCAAGTATTATGGATTATCATGTCTGATTTACAACCATTAAGTCGTTGGTGCGGTAAAGGGAACATATTCCAAACAAGTGAAGAAAACATATTACTCTGTGTTCTAAGTTTCGCTAGCCCAAACCACTGCTAGGCAACTAGCACAGCAACTAAAGTTAGGTACAACAATACAAATATGTGGTTGACATATGACACAATTCCAACGTAGATACCATTGAAGTACTTAAGTTAACTTAATTCCAAACAAGTCAAAAAAGCTATTCCAGTAGTACCAAATGTAATAAACCTGGAAACAAGGAGATTCGAAATGTGAGTGCCTTGGGTTTTAGGCTTTTAGCAAACGAGGAAACTTGGAAAATGAAAATATGAATATTCATGAGTGAAGTTGTGAAATGTGAAGCCAAATTAAGAAATGGATAGATAATATAATGTCATTCCAGTTCAATTTTAAGAGTGAAACAAAAAACAATCCTAAAAGAGGCTGGGCTTTTCAATGCTGCAGCAGGTCCCTAAATGCAGTGTCTGAGAAGTTTTTATAGTCAAGAAGGTTTTCAGATCATTTTTTAGTGTTGATTCATATTAGCCCAGCCCAAACTCTTTTAGGATTAGGGTTTGGATGTTTGTTGTTGTTGAAGGTTTTCGGTTCCACAACCTGGTAGTCTGGTACCTAGGTGGGAACCTAGACAAAAAATTAGATATAATACAAATTAGATTTAAGCTAATTTATTTTGAATGAAGATTATAGAAAAGAACAAAAAAAACATCTTTGAGCACCGAAGTAGCATCATTAAGCAGGCTCTTAAACCATAAGTTATTTCACTATAATAATGGATCCCGGGCCATCCATAATCACAATTGTAGAATATTGATATTCCATAATGATAAGCAATGATGGTAAACATAAACATTACCAAAAAACATGACGTTTAGGAAAAGCATGAAAAAGATGAGCAACCAGAACTTAAAAGGTAACAGTTGCCAGATATGTTGAAGAGTACCTCTCTCTGATATGTTGAATGCTATCTAATATGTCCAGTAGTTGTTGAATCTTTGAATTTTCTAGTTTCTCGTTGCTTTCAATAACCAAGCCTGCAAATCTCAAAACTGTGACTACTTCATCTTCAATTTTTTTGAGTTCTAGATATATATGTTCCACAAAGTCCTCATATGAAGATATTCCATTGAAGCTATCCACTCTTTCAGCTTCACTCCACATGTTCCCACTACCTGATGCCTCATTATCAGCTTCAGGGTCTGCCACACTGTGATTAAGATGTTGAAGTTCTTGAGGATTACAAACCTCGACATCTTCCCGAATGTGAACTTCACTTCCTTCTGAATTGTTACAATCATTCTCTCTGAGAGACACTATTCTAACAACACTAGGAATATCGTCGGCTATAACTTCAAGTTCTATAGAAGCATTGCCAATCAGTTGTGTCTCCCTCATTGATATTGCCTTGATCAGATTTAGTTACCGAATTAGAAACTGGATTACTAAAGAGAAACAGAGAAGCTGTGATTCATCAAGAAAGAATTTCCAATCAGAGAATAAATCTGATCGTCATTGGTGGAAAATTGAATTGTTACATAAAAAAAATGCCGATAAGTGAGCAAGATGGTAACTTTTATGTTAAAATAATTACTCCTCCCAAGATGGATGTGCGGTTAGTACTTCCTCCACCCTCTATCTTTGTCCCATTTTACCTTTTCCGTCCGTCCAACTAAATATAACTCATACCACATTTACTAAAATTTGTATGGTTATAACTTATAATTCATTCTTACTTTATTTATGCGATCAATGTTAGGGGCGCGGAGATAGTAAAAAAGACCGTGAAGAACCCCAAAGCGGCAATAAATTGGACCTCATTAAGTTTTGCAGCAAGTTTTTCAAGCAATTCAATGCGATTCTTTGACTTCTCCATAGCTTGCAAAACCTTTTTCTTTTGGAAAAGCAATTCCTTGGCATCCTCCTCCTTTCCAGATCGAACACTAATTGCAGCTTGCCTTCGAAGCTTGTCTGCTACTTCAGACAACCTTAGTAGCCTCAGTCTTGCATTATTTGCTGAAGAAAGGCCACATCATGAGTCATGAGATGTACAGAACTAAGCACTTCCTATACAGTAGTGCATTGGATCTAGTTTATAGTTTATATCATGCACATTTAAACAAAGAGAAGCTTTTATGTTTTGAGTAAATGTGAGCAGTACTATAAATGTTCCAAGCTATTTGAATAAGGAGAGATCAATTGACGTAGAGAAATTGAAGTATTATTATCATTTTTGTGGTCTGGGTATTATTAATTTATTATGTACACAACTCATAAAACCATGGAATTTCCATGATATGATCATAACAGATACTCTCTTGGTATTGTTCAACGCCTCGTCGTGTAGACATAATTTTGCAAGAACTGCAGTACCCATTCAGAAAATATAACAAACACATGCTCATCAGGAAAATCCAACTATTGCACCACAAAATGCGAATTATACCCGATTAAACTTGAATTGGCAGAAATGAATTACGCAGTAAAAATGTACTTCCTCCATCCCATTTTACATATCTTACTTTCTTTTTTGGATTATCTAAAAATAATTGTCACATTTCTCTTTTTGAAAAGAAATATGTAATCTACCTCACTTCACTCTTTATTAAACTCAAATCACAACAACGACTTTAACGTTTTCAACTACATTACTAATAATTGTGCCAAATCAGGAATATTGAACTTTAAAAATGTAGTAAAGGATATGAATAATACACAGTCCACAAAAGCATATACCTTTGCGTCTTGTCTGGTTAGCTTCCTTGTGTAGATGATCAAGCTGTTCTCGGAGCTGGTCTGTGTTGAGGCTTTGAGAAGAAGCGAAGCACGCTGTAGCGATTGGAATCACCGGAGGCCTCCATTGAAGATGGGTGGGAAGAAGAGTCCGACTCATTAACAACATGATCCTGATTTCTGGATTAGTTTGGACTTGGGAAGTTGGGAGAGAGGGTCGAGGGTAAACTGTCAGACAGAATCATGGGTTAAGCGTCGAACAATCAAGAACAAGACCGTAACTATATTATCCGTTAAGTATTATGCTGTAGAATAATTGTCAACAAAGAGACTCCGTGGCCCAATGGATAAGGCGCTGGTCTACGAAACCAGAGATTCTGGGTTCGATCCCCAGCGGAGTCGTTTTTGTTTTGTTGTACACGTATGATTGCATTTTCTTATCTTCCTTCTTTCTTGTGCTAGATTTAATCAAATCTGCAAATTTCAGAGCATTTCAAAAGTTTTTGTTTTCACTAAAACAACTGGGTTTCATTTTCTATATTCCTGCTTTGTGCTAATTCATCTTAATCTGCAATTTCTTGAAGTATCTAATACTACTTGATACTTTCACTTGTACTAACATGTTTAGAATTCAACTTTTTATGTCCCTTCTTTCCTGGTGCAAGATTTCATCATAATCAATAAACTTTTAGGTATGTAAGAACTAAGAATGTTTTCACTAAGTAATGGAGCAATCCGGATTTGTTTTGAATGAGATCATTTAATACGAAAGTGTTATAAATATTTAAATATTTTTCATTGTTTTATACTCCCTCCCCGATGATCCTGAAGTTTGCTTTTGGCGCGGAGTTTTAGAAGACCAATTAATAGAATAACAAATCTCTTTTATACCCTTTGGCCCTCCTTTGGCTTTGTTAATGTGTCGAAATGACGGTTCCCATTAGGGCTAAGCAAAACCCGAAACGACCCGCAAAATCCGAAGTTTTTTTGCGGATAATACACGAACCGGAGTGGATATCCGACCCGAAAAACCCGAAACCAAAAATCCGATTAGTATTGGGCCTAGACCGGGTGGCGGGTAGGGTTTATAAAATCCCAACCTGCCCGAAATATCCTAAATATATATTAAATATATATTAAATTATGTAATGTTTACTTTGAATATGTTAAATTAACACTTGTGTTCAATTATTTGTGTTAAATTATCTGTGTACTTTGAATGTGTAGTGCAGTAGTGTGTACAATTTTTGTCAAAGTGGCATTCCAAAACTTTAATTGTCCAATTATAATTTGTTTTAATATAACCGAAATATCCAAAATATATTTAATTATGTAGTGTGTACTTTGAATATGTTAAATTAATACTTGTGTTCAATTATTTGTGCAATTTGTGTTAAATTATTTGTCTAATTTGAATGTTTAGTGCACTAGTGTGTACAATTTTTGTCAAATTGGCATTCAAACATTTTAATTATCTAATTATAATGTTTTTTTAATTTTTTAATTTTTTAAATATAACCGAAATATCCGAAACCCGGCCCGACATCCGAAAATATCCGATATAAAAATATCCGAAATACCTGATTTGAAATATCAAAGGGTTGGGCCTAGTATTTAAATTAAAAAACCCGAACAGGTTTATATCGTACCCAGACCCAACCTGCTCGAACCCAACCCGTGCACACCCCTAGTTCCCGCTGACCAACCAGGTGAACAGTACCTGATTGTGGAGTTAATTTTTTTACTGCTTGTGGCTGTTTAGTACAAATGCAGTATATTTTAAGTGCAGAAGCAACTTCCTTGTTGGTGTTATAATCTAAAAAAGACCACTTTTCATCATTGGCAGATTTACAAACCACCAACACAGATCATAAGCAATTATCACAACATATTAGGTCTCAAAGCAAATAGAGTGAAACTCAAAATAGATCTGTTGGGTTAATGGCTCAATCAGGGATCGGTCCATTATCCCCTTAGACGTTCGTCTTCATGCTTCAATGCCCACCAAGGGGGGTTATCCATAAAAACTTAAGGCACCCCTAATGTACATCCCATGCATCAGATGCACGACCTCCGAAAGGCTACCCAGTGAGCTCCAGCATTCATAGCCAGATGACACGCCGGGGACGCTCGGCACCTGACCCTTATCCAACACCAAGAGAAGGTCCAGGGCCCAGGGGACGCTCGTCCCCAAACCTTGGCGGGAAATCAAGATTCTGGCGGGAAGCGCATTTAATGTTGGAGATTTGGTAGTTGAGAGTCTGGCCATCCACATCTCTCCACATCGGCACGCCTAACTACCCATTGGTAGTATAAATAGTATCATTTATTTCATTTTAAATGGTTTGCAACTTATTCTCCCTAGCATTCTAGCTTATAGCTTATATTCTCAGCTCTTACTTAGCGAGAAAGACGATCGGCCTCAGCCCAGGTAGCGATAGTGCGTTTGTATATGAACCCTCATTATCACTTAATAAGATACAACCCACTGCTACAGAAAGGCAAGCTCATTTACTTGCTTGCACTTCATATTCAGATACACTCTTCCACTCGAAATCCTTGGGTTACGTGTTGGGCCCCCAGATTGAAAGAATAAACTTCAACAAGATCAAATCACAATACACGAAGTTTTAGTCAAGGTTACATAGGCGCTCGGTAGAGGGTATCACCCAGAACATAAACAAAATTGATTAAAGGATGTCTCATAGGCATTACAAACGAGTTTCCAGCAATGGCCAATTCGAGATCTTCAATATCTATATCTGAATTGGGATCAGCCATAGTTGTTTAACAAAAAAAAACATTAAAACCTAAATCACATGAATTCATAGATCAACACACATAGGTAGATCGATTAAACACTTACACTTTTCTTGGTCAGGTGAACGAAGTCCAACAGTCGAGAATTAGGAAGAATTAAAAAGAACAATTGAATAAATTTGTAAGAAAAGATGAACAGATGGAGAGAAGATTTTTGTTGTAGACTCAACTGTCCGTATGGGTTTTGGAGATTAGTATGGAGTATACGAGAGTGGCGGTTGGGTAGTGGGTGGGTAATTAATTTTATCTAGTTAAATGTAAATGTGAGTGGGTGGTGTGAAGGGTAGTTATGGCAAATCATGTAAAATAAGTTGCCAAAAAAGGAAACGTAAAAGAGTAAAAGGAAAGTGTAAAGATTTAAATGGGACAGAGGGAAGTATAATTTAAAGGTATTGCAAAAGAAAATTTGGTTACATTGTTTTTATGGTTATTTTATAAGGAAACTGTCAAATAAACTCTAACGTCAGGTATATGCTCATAACAAAATAATCAACTCAATCATACCCCCAAACTTTTAAAATAGACCAAAATTTTCCATAGAGACAGTAATTGTCCAGATTCCAAGTTAATATGCATGTGTGGTGGTAGCCCATGGTAGCAAAATTATCCAGACGGAACACCAGTTCATCAAGTGTCCTGTTACAGGATTGGTTTGGAAGCAGATTTGTGTTTGGCTAGGATTGAAAAAAGCTACTACTACTACAGTACTATTCTCACTAGTGTTTAAGTGTGGATTTCAAAGGTGCTCCGGTAACTACCATTTGGATGGTTCGAAACACATGAAATTATAAAGGAGACACTGCAATTGTCAAGAGTATGGTTGTACTGAATAAAGTCCTAAAATATAAAGTTTTGTACTGGATGTATCTTCCAAGTTGATCTTTTTTTAAGGACCTCCAAATATGATCTATTTTTGAACTTCCCCTCTACCTTTTTGATTGCTTGGGAAGTACTTTCCAGGTTTTGGTTGTGTAGGGTGCTTGTAGAGGATAAGTTTTAGGCTGTTTTGCTCTGATGTTGTTTAGTCTGTTATGACAGGAGGTTTGTCTGTTGAAGACTAGAAGAGAAATTTTGTACATGCCCCTCTGTAGTTTTTATAATTTTACCATTCATTTAAGAATTTAGGACAAACAAATATGGAGTATGAAGTGTGAAGCTTCACAAAAGAAAGACCAACACATGAAGAATACACATCAAGAATACGGTTCAATTCGAAAAAATGTGAAGAAGATAATTCAACAATGATTTAATATTGTGAATATCACTTCAGAATACATAGTTCTGCTAACTCTTAAGCTTATGCTTAACTGTTGCTGTTTGTGTTGTGGTGGAGGCAGTAGGGGGTGGGAGACTATACAAGGATTTAAGCTGCTGGCTTATAAGCCTGCTACTATTCAGAGCCATTTGAAGCTCCAAATTGTCAGACCACCATTGCTCTAGCCCATGCGCCTCCAAAAACCTCTGCTTTCCTCCCTTCACCGAAAGGAAGAGCTTCGCCGCCACTTGCCCCCCGCCTCCGCCTTTTCGGGGCTTCGCATTCTCTTTATCTTCATCACCATCAGCAGCAGCGGCAACCCTGTTCTTGTTCTGGGCTTCCTCTGGATCAGTATAAGAGCAACAAATATAATCACTGTTGTTTATGTACAAATGTGGGACCCACTGCTTTACCCGGGTCTGTTTTCGGGATCTTTCCCCTCCTCCTCCTCCTTCAACTTTTTCAGAAATGCAGTCGGTCTGAGAAGGAAGCAGAGATTTGAACCTATTCCAAACGAACCCCGCCTTTTCGGCTACATTCCGGAGACTCATCGCCAGCGAAACCGAAGGCGGGTTGAACAAATGCGCCTCCACGTATATCCCTTCTTTCGCCAACGCCTTCCCGACTTGAAGGGCGAATCCGGCGCCGAGCGAATGCCCGGCAATACAGACGTTGTGGGACCCGTATTTCCCGACCAGCGATTTCGCCGCCTCCATTCCGCACCTAAACCGGACCGATCCCTTTAGGCTCTCCCACGCCAGGAACCGGAGATCGTCTTCGATGTCCCTTCTGATCGTCGGGCTCTTCAGGAGGGTCCCGCGGAGAGCCAGGACTGCTCTCGGTGCGCCGCTCGGTCGGATGAAGACCAGGTCGGTCAACGCCGCCGCCCGGTCCCATTCGAGTACGGCGCCGAAGATGGACCCGTCTCTCTCGTCAATTAGGGTTTCAGCGAGTCTGTACTTGAAGGGGGTCCACCATTTGGGGGCAAGGGCAGTTTCTTCTTTGCGATTCTCTTGTCTGTCTAGCTCCACCAAGTATACTGCTTGGATGAAGCAAGCAATTACTGTTCTTTTGTAATTTGCATCCTTCCTGCATATAAATGGAAGAACACAATTATTTCCCAGAAAGAAATGGACAGCGGTCACAATGTGGTATGATGCTAACTAGGCCAAATAATGAAATAATTAATGGTGTTATACGCATTTAA